TCCCCAGCCCTGCTCCACTCAGGTACCCTGTCTCTGCTCCCTGCAGCCAGACCCTTCTCTCTCTGAAGGCAGAGAGAGACTCTGGCCTGAGCTCCTGGCTCCCAGCCTTTATAGGGCCTGCTGAGGCTGTTTGGGGCCTGGCCCCAGCTGCAGCCACTTCCCCTAATCAGCTCAGCCTTCACACTGCCTGCTCCCTGGGCTATCTCAGGCCCTTCCAGGCAGGAGCAGGCGTCCACCCTGCTACACCATCCTACTAGTCTCTTTGCAATAATGTGGAACTTTAAAGATAAGCACTTTAAAGATAAAGGGAGCACTGTGTATAGCTGAAGGGAGGAAATCAGACTTATGCCTCAACTGAGAGCGCCTGCAAAACATCCCCATGCTGTGATTTGCCCTAAATGTACAGTCATCTGTCTCTTCATCATGACAACTGTGACAGGTTGGACCCCTTGGGAAGCCACCTGATGTGCTGAGATACCACGGAGTCTACCTGTTGTGCCAGCCTGGGCCCCCTTTCACCTGTCTTGCTGAGCCAGGTTCTTAAAACCTCCTCTAACCCACACACAGGCAGGACCACACCCAGCTGCAGATCAGGTCCGGGAAGACTCAGCTTCAGGGACTTGCTGTAATGTCCCTTATAGATGTTTTTGCAAAGTTCTGGGTTTCTGTTCCCACGTTACCAGAAAATATCTCGGTGTGTAGCATTGTGTACATAGTGCAGATGTCAATATCTTTTAAAGTGTAGGTGTCTTGGCATTTAGCCACCAATGCCATGAGACAGCGTGCCTCAGTTTCCCCTTCCACACAGCAGTCTAGATCGGCTATGCTTTCTCCGCTGTGCTAACCTCTAAACCTGTCTACAGGTACTAGCTGAGAAGCAGTGTTCTCTTAGGACTTTCTTGTTACTACTCCTAGTCTGTACCAAAGATTTTTCCAAAAATCATGCATCTTACACATTTTTTAAAGTATTTACCACCAGTATCAAATTCTTTATTAACCCACAGTGTGTGTGTAGTAAGAGACATAAAGTTACCAAGACATTCATGACAGAGAGACGCTTCCAAGTATGATTATCATACCATGCCTTCTGTCTAAACAGATCAGTTTGTTCAGTATTTATTATATTTCTCATCACCTCAGTGAAGGTTCTTACTTTGGGTATGTTTTTGGGGTTTTGGCAAGGAAAGGGTGTAAGGAGACCTTGTATGTTACTGGCCCACTCCCTGTGGAGTTGCATTTCCTCCCCAGGGCTAAGCCCAGGGGAAGAACCCGAAGAACCTGCTCTCCTGAGATTCCTTTGTGTTGTTCACCCCCATCAGTCACTGTCTGATGCTTAGCTGTGGGGAGGGGTTTACCTGCCCGGGAAGTGGCTGTCTCTGCCCCTTCGTCAGGTGGATCATTAGCATGTTCACAGACACCAAAATGCTTGGAAGAAACCTCCCCCTTCCCCGCCGCCTTACAGAGACAGAGTTAGTTTTCACAAGTACTGCAAAAAAAACATTTTGCAAAAGTGGGGCCTGGATTGGGGAACCCTCTGTCACCTCTCTCACTGTTGCCAAGAGGTCAGCTGTATGGCTGCTCCCCTCAGAACAGATACACAGTTCCCCCTTAAAACCTGAGCCACAGGTGAGGGGCCTGGGATTACAGATGCAGATACAGCAAATTTCTCCTGGGCAAACCCTTCCCTGCAATGAGTGGGGAGACATTCCTATACTCCCCCCCTGTTCCCTCTTAGCCTCTTTCTCTGAGCCCCCCGCCAGGACACACACCCCTGTGCTCCCTGGAGGGCAATCTGTCCCCTCTTCAGCTGTGGGCTCACAGCTACCAGCCATGACAGACCCTTCACTGGCAAGCCGTGTACCCTCCTCCGTCTTTGAATTGGGCTGGCCTCCTGGTACAGAGCCCATGGAATCCTCACCCCCTGCAGCAGTTTCTCAGATACCATCTTCCCCCTCTAAGGCTTCTTCCAGGACACATTTCCCTATGCATCCTAGAGCAGGATCTGTCTCTTGCTTAACTACAACTTCCTGGCAGCCAGCCACCTGGACAGTCTCCTTACCGTCAGGCAAAACATTCCCCTCCCCTGAGGGAACAGCCACTGGGCTGGAGCTGGTTCTACCCATCCCCACCCCTTGTGGCAATTTGATTTGCAGGGCAGTAGAGGAATTAAAGAGACTTATTTACTCAGCAGTTTCTGTAGCTTTGCTCCTTCCCACTGGGGTTCCTCGCTGCTGACAGACCCCTGTATAGCCCTAGCCACATTGAAACAGTCGTTACCCGAAAGAATTTGTGTTGGGTTATGAGAAAGTGCAGCCACAGTTAACTCAGTTTGCAAATCCCCAGCTTCCATGTGCGTTTTAGCCAAAGGCACAAGGATTTTGTGACCCCCTATTAACAGAAGCTCTGCCATCTGTCCTGGCAGTATGTCTTCCTCCTGACCACAGAGATTTCTGCACCAGTATCTCTCCATGCAGGGAGTTCCTTGCCATTTACTCTGACAGCCTTCGTGTGCTTACTGCCTGGCTGTGCAGTGGCAACCTTTACAAATCCTGTGTGATAAGTGGCAATTTCCTAAGATGTCTCTGTGCTCTGGGTAGCAGCATTTCCATGAGTTGCCTGCTGCCTGTTCCCACTCAGCACAGGGCATTTATTCCTCAGGTGCTCAGTGGAATTACAATTATAGCACCTTCTGGGCTGTTCTGGTTTTACAGAAGATTTGGGACAAGGACTGGAGGCGTGAACTTGGGGAGGTGAGTGTGCAGCCTCCCATCCACTCTCCTTCTGCACAGGGGTAAAACGGGGACTTTGCTTCTCACCAAACTTAAACCCCTCTGCCTGTGATTTATTCCTACTAGGTGCTTGGGATTGCTCAAATTTATCTGCAAAAACTGCAAGTTCATTGACTGTTTCCACCTTCTTATCCCATAAACACTGTTGTACATCATCACTAGACATATTCAGGAACTGTTCCTGAGCAATCAAATCACACATTCCTTCAAACCTTGAAATACCTTTTTCCCTCACCCACTTAGCCAGTAAATCTCTCATTTGGTTCACATAAACCACATTACTTAATCCAGCCCCTCTCTTAAGGTTTATAAATTTTACTCAATAAATTTCAGTGTAATCCGAAACTGTTTGAAAACCAAATCCTTAAATTTACCGTAATTGGAAGCATCACCCATGGGCATCTTATTGAGTATGTCCAGAGCTCTCCCAGTCAATTTTGCACCAAAGTGGTCATCTTTTGATCATCAGGAATGGCATGGAGCCAGGGCTGGCTCCAGGCACCAGCCCACCAAGCACATGCTTGGGGCAGCACCTTGGGGCGGGGCGGCGCTCGGGTTATTATGTATTTATTTATTTATTTGGTTCGTGGGGCAGCGCTGGAGGGTTTTTTGTTTCCACGGTGCGGTGCTCGGGGGGGTGGGGCTTCGGGCGGCACAGCTCTCAGACGAGGCGGGGGCTGGCGCAGCGCTCGGATGGGGGGTGGGTTGGCGCGGCACGGCGCTTGGTGGGGGCGGGGGCTTGGTGTGCCACTCGGAGGGGGGCGGGGGCTTGGCACGGTGCTTGGATGGGGGTGTGGGGGTTGGCACGGCGCTCGGAGGGGAGCGGGGGCTTGGTGCGGCGTGGCGCAGCGCTCGGAGGGGGGACAGGGGCTGGCCCTGCGCTCGCGGGGGGGCAGGGGCTTCGGGCGGCGCGGTGCTTGGAGGGGGCGGGGCTTCAGGTGGTGTGGCACTGGGGGAGCGGGGGCTTGCATGATGCTCGGGGCGGGGCTTCGGGCGCATGGTGCTGGGGGGCGGGGATTTTGGCTCCGCAGCGCTGGGGGGGTTTGCTGCGCAGCCCTCGCGGGAGGAGTATGGCGGCGCTCGTGGGGGGGGGTACGGCGGGGCGATGCTCTTCTTTTCTGCATGGGGCGGCAAAAAAGTTAGAGCCGGCCCTGCACGGAGCATACATAGTCTCTCAAAGATGATGAAATATTCAGCAATGTCACCAGATTCATTATATGGTGAACACAACCGCTCTCACTTGTGGATTTTTGGAGAGGTGGGATTCTGTCTCCTCCACTCCATTTCGGCCAGTTCATGCTTCATTTCTTTGTCTCTCAGTTCCATGGCTTGCTTCCGAGCCTCAGTTTCTTGGCTTTCAATTCCAGGGCTTGCTTCTGGGCTTCCATTTCTTTGTCAGCCTCTAGCTGTCTCAGTTCCATGGCTCTCTCATGAGCTGCTTTCTGCTCATCAATTTCCATCTGCTTCCATTCCAGCTGTCTCTGGTATATTTTTTCTATTTTCCTCTACCTGCAACCTGTAGAGCTCCAACTTCTTGGTAGCTTCACTTTCACTCATTTTCATACTTTTCTGTCCCTACTTCTCTTGCCTGAAATAAGCAAACAGAAAATAACAAACCAGTAACCACTTTGTCTGTTCTGTAGTCACCACACTTAAAACTCACTTAAAATCACCAGCAGTGTTTTAGGGCAATAAGCAGTGCACACTATCCTGCCCGACTATG